ACTGTGTTGATGCAAGGCGGAAACCCGTCTCCGTCTGGCCTGACATTCGAGAATGCCCAAGTTTCCTGCTTACGTAAACAAGGACGAAACTCGCATATTTTATAAACTTGCAAAACAAAGACGCCTGATATATATTATGATGAACCTTTATCTTGTGCTAAGAAGTACGACAATCACCAGTGCGACACTGGTAGACAAGTGTGCAACATGTGCTCGCATCATCTGCGGCCTGAGAGTATGAAGCGAATTACATAGAAATAAATCGGCACGAGCTTTCAACGCGTAAATGCAAATGAATAATACAAGACATAAGCTTTTATATGTCATATATACATTATTATGCGAATGAAGACATATGAAATAAAAAAGACAAATGCTTTTCTAAATAATCATAAATTATTTTTTTTATACATGAGCTTGTGTTTATGAATCACTATGATACCTGGTGTTCGTGTAAAGAAATTCGAGAAAGTTGTGTAAACAAATAAATAATAATGCATTTTTATAATGATTGAATGAATGATTATAAGAATTTTTGAAGTTTTTATAATGCATGAATGAATGAATATGAGAAGAAATTATGCATGTTTATAATCCACATGGTCAAGACAAGTGAATTAATATTAAGTCTATGGATTGCTTTCGAATATTCTCGATTTTAACTGACCAATAAGAAGTTTCAAATCACAATAATAACCTCTATTTGAAACAACTTATGTAACGGTCGCATCAGCAAGGGGGGCAATGTTTAAGTTTGTGTTTCTTAATCATTGTTTGTAGGCATTTACATAGGTCTTCAGCAACACATGCTTGTCGTAAAAGGCGACTATGGTTGTCGTAAGAGGCGACTAACGGGATCGGGTGGTCAGGCTCGCTGACTTGGTTGATGCATGTCATCGATCCCAATTGCGTGGACAGATGCTCATGATATTAATCACTGGATTGTCTTTTACGACAAGCATAGTCGCCTTTTATGGCAAGCATGGGTTGCTGAAGACCTATTCTAACCCGGATCTTCACGAATCTGTTGGTATAATGGGATATATCACACACGTGTGTTGCGATTTTATGCACATTTTAGAAAGGGCGGGAGATATGGACGACGTTGTCTTGTTGCCTTTCAGCTGACAGCGAGTATAATTATAACAGTAACATTTTGAAGTAAATTAGGGGAGGGAAGGATTGTCTGAATGATCGAATCTCTTGCTAAAAGAATCTTCTCAAGACTGTCTTCGCCGTACACAGTAATATTTTACAGACGCTTCTATACGCATGCCTTGCACTGACTTTCAGTGATCCATTCATATTTTGTTTGTTTGTTTGTTGTTTAACGCCGCACTCAGCAATATTCAAGCTATATGACGGCGGTCTGTAAATAATCGAGTCTGGACAGACAACCCAGTGATTGACATCATGAGCATCTATCCACGCAATTGGGATCGATGACATGCATCAACCAAGTCAGCAACCCTGCCCACCCGATCCCGTTAATCGCCTCTTACGACAAGCATGGGTTGCTGAAGACATATTCTAACCCGGAATCTTCCCCTATAAACCACACCATGCTGGGACTGCTTGAACCAAACATTCCTATAATCGAGTGAACACATTTTTAGACATGCCACTACAGGACAAAACGCGTGGATTAGTCAAGAGCACGTGATGCTGATTTGACAAGTTCTTTTAGTGCATACCGCATACCACAGTTAGCACGAAGCCCGAATCCAAGATACCTGTAACTTTCTGAATACTCTAAATTAATGTCACCATAAAAAGCATATTACACTGCGACATGTTTTATGTGCCTGAAACGGACAATGGACTCAATGCTAATTTCCCCATTTACGTGCCCAACTGTACAAGATATTAACAGCATCAGGGGTCAGAAGTACTAAGAAATGGTCTCCAAAGTAGGTTAGCATAGAAAGGGACGATACCCTCAACCTATGTTGTATACAAGTATCCTTTGAATATATTTTACAATATAAGATGGCTACGCGATAAATCGCAAAGAACAATGAAGAACAAAGCGTCGTTTACTTCATGATAAAACATTGTTCTATCATGACGTAATTTCTGGAGATTCGAACATGCGAACAAATTGATGACGTGGTATATTGGACGACATTATTTTTGAGCGGGGAGTGTGTAGTGAGTTGTTTCCCATTGATGAAGCTGGGCAACGCAGATAAACGCTAGGGCAGAACGATAGCATCAAAAAGCGGAAGAGATTTGACAAATGGTATTTGGAGAAAAGGTACAGGTAATCGACGTAACGATTGTGAGAAAATGCGGGAAAAACCCACCTGTGCATAAAATGGACTTGTCCGACATTGCTGAGGTCGGATTCTATTGAGGAAGTCATTGATATTTAAATACGGGTAAATATTTTTGAAGCTTGTAATTTTATCTTGATCCCTAAGAAGGCTGTACATAATGTTGATTTCTCATATAAGAAATAAACGACTCGTGGTCGTTGTTTATCGTACAATATAACACTGCAGGGAGAATAAACCACTGATGGTTTATTCCCCCTGCAGTGTTATATTGTTCGATAAACAACTCCCACTCGTCTTTTATGTCTTGAATAAAAACTTTCTACACAAGTGGACTGTGAAGATCCGGGGTAGAATAGGTCCTCAGCAACCCATGCTTGCCGTAAAAGGCGTCTATGCTTGTCTTAAGATGCGTCTAACGGGATCGCGTGATCAGACTGCTGACTTGGTTGATGCATGCCATTGTATCCCAGTTGCGTGGATCGATGCTCATGATGTCATCACTGGCTTACCTGTCCAGACTCGATTATTTACATACAGTCGTCAAAAAGCTGGAACAATAAACAAACAAAAACAAACAAACAAACAAACAAACCAATTCTACATTAGTAACTACGTATACGTACATATATTTAAGTCTAACGAAAATTGAACGCAGGTTAACCAATAAGACGTAAAAAATGTGCATCTGTGAGTGTTTATATAATTAAATGGAGGCCTGTCTCCAGTATAACCACAAGTTGCGTCATTTCCAACATCCACAACCGAGTCGTCTTTGCTGTTACGGAAAGAGGCGACGTCTGTCGATTGCCACAAGGGCATGTACCGTAATAACACGAGTGGTCACGAATGAACATGACAGTGTGATTAATGTCCTTGCACTTCAGGATCCTTCATGGGACCATCAAGTTAACAATGACAGATGTCCGAAGACGACGACCAGGCTCCACCTGTCGGAAGCACCGCAGTGACCCGCGATTGATGTATATGTCTATAGCTGATGAATAATAACGTGATCCCTCTTCCGCTCCTTCCACTCCCCACTGTACAGTTTAGTCGTGAATGTGTCGCCTGTGTTAAATGTACTTCCCCAAAGCTCACGAGGCCTACGTCGTTGCGAGTGATTTAACACAGCCTCACAAGGAGCTGACAGGTTAATGTTAGAATCATGTACCACTAATCTTCGAGAGGCATGTTTTCGGGAGTAGTGACCCAGTGACTGTTTTAACACAGTGATATATCTGTTGTGTGATGCTGGGGTTATAGTGGCACATTCTCTTTGTCATCCTGTTACAGTTTTGTTCTTGTGTCCCCTTTGGAAGCCTCATCCAGCTGAGAATGGGTACCCGGTAGGATGAGATGAGTATGATTCTAGTGTGAGATAGGCAGCTGGGATTGTTTATTCCTCAGGGAGCTGAGCTGTACCCTTTGATCCGGGATGTTTTACGCCGCTCTGAGCAATATTCCAGCTGTATGACGGCGGCCTGACAATAAGCATCTCTGGACCAGACAATCCAGTGAATGATATTGTGGGTAACGATCCACACCGTCGGGGTACGATGACACGCAATCCACCAAGTCATCGAGCCTGGCCACCTGATCCATTTGGTCGCCTCCTATGACCATTATAGGGAACTGGGGACCCAGAATCCCCATGGGGTAGTTCATGAATTGGGATCCCGTGGGGAGCAGAAAGAGTCCCTTGTACCCAGGCTTGTCCGAAGAGCTGAATGATGAGAATCGAGAGATCACAATGTGTGACCAGGCTGAGGTGAAAATGAAATGGGTTTAACGTCACGTCGAAGATTTTTGCACTTATATAGCGACGTGCATGCGCGTGTCTGTGTGGCTGCTTGAACTGGTCCGGACTAACACTGATTTTATAGTGTAAGCCCACTGAGATACCATGCCGCAGTTAAATATGAATTTCTCACTTAGACACAGTATATTGATTCCGTGCCGACAAGTCTTTGTTTAAGCCCCTCAATGCCGACCGCCAGGCAGGGTAACAACAAGTACCATCTCTTAATGTCTTTTGGTATGACGCGGCCGGGGATCTTACCCCGGGCATTCCGCTCTCCGGGCGGACGCTCCACCACCAGACCACGGAGGCGGTAGCTATTCGATCAGGCGAAATGGCGGGAAATACCAAGGACAATTGAATCAACAGTATGCCATCAAGGAGTCATGCATGTATCGCCCGACATGGTGGATACACCAGATATTGATCCACACGCTCGAAATATATTTTACAGAAATGACATCACTGTCATATCAACTGTTCCATTATTTTTTGTCGTTAATATGAATACCTCACTTAGACACATTATATATATATATATATATATATATATATATATATATATATATATATATGGTTGATGCATGTTATTGTATCTCATTTGCGCGGATCGATGCACACGATTTCAATCACTGGATTGTCTGGTCCAGACTCGATTATTTAACAAACTGACGGGCAAAAGAAAGTATACGCTCGTGTTTGATGGTGGCTAAAGTGAAACAATCAAGAAATGGTCATTTGGTTGTGTTTTGGACCTAGATTGCAGTATTGTAACGTTTTTATAACGTTTGTAATATTTTGATTTAATTACCTCTTCAAGTGTATACTTTTTTGCCCGATAGATTATCTGCCAAGTGTGAATGAAATAATCATTTACCATATTGAATTTGTTTAACTGTGCAATTACCAAGACCAAGCACACATACGTTCCACAAAAAGATTTTATTCTCATAGTCACAATAATATGATACATGCAAATAAGATCCATATTTGTTGAAGTATCAAAAGCCATGCACTATGTTACCAATCCCTTCAAGTTGCCCGTATGCAGCTATGGTATGAACCGATGGAGTGGCTGAATGAACGATACACAGGTGGACACGATGAAATGCATGTGTAAATACAATGCAATGCCATGTACGGAGGTACCCCGCCACAGGCAGATGAAAACGTCATTCAGGTGCGACTCAGTGTATGCTATCAACCAAGTAGAGATCCAAACAACAAACTCATCATCATCGGGTTCTGCATCATCTGCGACGACTGGGTCCCCATCATGTACATCAGCGGTGAGATCTCGCCGCCACCGCCTCCCATCATTGACCTGGAATGGATTATTGAATGGAGATCAGTTAATGTAATGTATTCAGGAGTGGGGTGAGGAGGGATTGGGTTGGTTGGGGTTGGGTGGGATTGGTGGGGCGAGGAAAGATTGGGTGGGATGAGGAGGGTTTGGCTGGGGTGAGGAGGGATTGGTTTGGTTGGGGTAGGGTGGGGTGAAGAGGGATTGGGTTGGTTTGGGTGGGTGGGATTGGGTTGGTTGGGGTGAGGAGGGATTAGGGTGGGTGGGGTTGGGTTTGCATTGGTGGGGTGAGGAGGGATTGGGGGGATTGGGGTGGGTGGGGTGGGGTTTGGAAGGGTGAGGAGGGTTTGGGTTGGTTTGGGTGGGTGGGATTGGGTTGGTTGGTGTGAGGAGGGATTGGGGTGGGTGGGGTTTGGTGGGGTTTGGTGGGGTGAGGAGGGATTGGGTTGGTTTGGGTGAGGAGGGATTGGGGTGGGTGGGGTTGGGTTTGCATTGGTGAGTCGAGGAGGGATTGGGGGGGATTGGGGTGGGTGGTGTGGGGTTGGTTTGTGTGAGGAGGGATTGGGATTGGTGGGTTGGGGTTTGGTGGGGTTGGGTGAGGTTTGGTGGGGCGAGGAGGGATATGCATGTTCTTTACACTTACCACAATGTGTACCACTAGTAAACCGAACGTGGATACGGGCAACCAATTCAACGGATGTACGTTGGACTGAATGACGGTAACCTTGCACTTGCTCGTGTGTTTGTTTGTTGTTTAACGCCGCACTCACCAATATTCTAGTTTTACGACGGCGGTCAGTAAATAATCAAGTCAATAATCAAGACTAGACAATTCAGTGATTGATATCATGAGCATCGATCCACGCAAATGGGATACGATGACATGCATAAACCAAGTCAGCGAGCCTGACCACCGGTTTGCCTGACCACCCGATCCATTAAGTCGCCTCTTACGACAAGGATAGTCGCCTTTTACGGCAAGCATGGGTTGCTGAAAACCTATTCTAACCCAGATCTTTACGGGTTAAGTAACCTTGGAAACATTAACTTACATCATCAGGGGAAGTGGCATTTGTCCTTGTTGACCGTTACCTGAAAAGGACGACAACATGTAAACACAAGTGTTCAACTGTCGCTGGTAACAATATGGTTAAACGATTTTATATATAATTGTCCGTTTTCAGTATACATCAGTAGTACACTGTTGAACATTTGTTTGTTTGTTGTTTAACGCCGCACTGTAAACCGCCTATCCCAGCTCATAGGCCTTGATCGTCCCTTCCAATACTACATCGGCTATAGTGAATTTTCAACTCTACTTGAAGTATTTGTTTGTTTGTTGTTTGGCGGTCTGTAAATAATAGAGTCTGGACAGACAACCCAGTGATTGACATCAAAAGCATCGATTCACGCAAATGGGATTCGATGACATACATCAACCAAGTAAGCGAGCATGTTCACCCGATCCCGTTAGTCGCCTCTTACGACAAGCATGGGTTGCTGAAGACCTATTCTACCCCGGATTCTTTACGGGACATTTGCATCAAAGGGTACATAGAAACCACCCCCCCCCCCCCCCCCCCCCCCCCCCCAACTAATTCACAAATGACAAATGATATAATGAACTTTAGATAGTTGACTGCATACCAGAAAACAACTGCTATATTTTGTAAAGCATGCTCAATATTGAATTGGTCTCGTTGATTCAAACTGTTTTCAAAGTAGAGCAAGGCTATCTGTAGATTTAGCCACGTTAAATTAAATTTGGAACCGAACGCTGAAACTAGCGCGGCCGTCAAGCTGTGTCAATTATCGTTTTTTTTCTTGTGATTCTTGCACGGATCTTTGTATTAGTAGTAAGAATATCCATTGAATGATAAGGGATAGTTTTGGCCCTAATTAAATGACACATTTATAAGTTACAGAAAATGTTATGATATGAACATTTCACATAATTTCACTGAAAACAGGACTGGTCTTCTTTCTCTCACATGCACATATTGGGACACCATTCTACAATATATGGAAATATTTCATAACTTCCACAAATGTCTAAGGAGACTGAACACATCCCATTTTAAACCTGTGTTTCCAGAAACTCAAAAGTATTTACAAAAATCCACATACTGTTTTCATGTATATATACTACGGAAGCAAAATATATAAGAACAAATAATAAAGAAAACATTGTTTCGAATTCGCAAGTTAAAGTATGTGGCCAATGGTCGAGAATATTCTCCTTTCTCAAAACTCATTTTTTTTTGTTTTACAAAATACATAAAGGTGTGTCTACAATTAGCATGACACATAATTCAACTCATTTGAAATAAGTCCAGGTAATTTATAGCGCTATGAAATTATTTCGCCCATGAGCGAAAACAGTACAGCCCATGGGCGAGAATATATTCTTTTGCTTAAAACCCAGCATCGACAGTTCAGTGCATTTCTAAGGAACTGTGAAAAGTCCTCACCCATTGCCTGCAGGTACAGCAACGTCCCGAGTCCTCCCTCCGCTCCCCCGCCTCCGAACAGGGAGCTGAAGATGAAATAGGATGAATGAGTGATGAGTGAGCTTAAACAACGCTTTGAACAGTATTTCCGTCAGATCCCGGTGTGTCTGTTTAATGTCGGAGACAAGCCGTTTACTACTTTCGTGAACACCACCAGCAAACAGCCAGGTATGGTGCTGACTGATGAATGATCAAATTTCAACGATCATAGGCTATTTGTTTGTTTGTTGTTTAACACCACACTAAGCGATAACCCAGCTATATGTCGGCAGTCTTCACATTTTCGAGTATGGGCCAGATGATCCAGTGATTGACATCAGTAGCATCCATCTACGCAATTGGGGTACGATGACATGCATCAATCAAGTTATCGAGCCTGACCATCCGATCATCGTAGTCGTAGTCGCTTCTTACGACAAGCATGGGTTTCTGAAGACTCGAGGGAGGCCTTTGAGGGTAAGGGCTTAAAGATGTGCGCGTTCATATTTTTATTGAAACAATGAAAATACGGACAAAAATTACAGATATAGATAATTGAGAAAAGAAACGTTGGAAATGACATTGTGTGATCGTATGTGATGAAGAGAAAAAGTGAAGGGACGAAATGGAAATTGAGATGATTGAGTTTAAATCTAAAGTCGCAATGGCATTATTTTAGTCCCACAGAGACGAGAACGGGTATTAATGTCTACAAGCTTGTCAAACAAATGTTATATTTGGGATAACGCTTCCTTAGTAAAGTGCAGATTCTCCGGCGGCTGGTAGTCTAGATTACGTACTTTGTGTACCCCTCTGACAGGTGTAAATTGGCACTGCTCCCATTGCCGAAAGCTATGAATACACAATGCCATTTAGAAAGTGGTCAAATGTAACAAATGTTTTATTTGGGATAACACTTTCTTAGTAAAGTACAGATTCTCGTACTTTGGGGGGATGAGTCCCGTCCGGGATTCGAACCCACGCTGCGAGATTTGTTATCCCAAATATGGCATCCCTCAACCCGAAAAAAGAACGAGAATCTGTACTTTACTAAGAAAATGTTATCCCAAATATAACATTTGTTACATTTGACCACTTTCTGAATGGCATTGTGTAAACAAGCTTATCACATAAAATCAAAGTTGTATCTAGAAGCACAGTTGTCAAACATATTTAAGCACAACAATAAAGAAAAGGAAAGGGTAAAAGGAATACTCTATCTCAGAAGAAAGACATAGACCTATTCAATCTTTCTTCCGCATCAATAGAGCGAGCGAGCGAGTATGGTTTTACGCCGCTTTTAGCAATACTCCTGCAATATCACGGCGGGAAGTCGGTTCCAGACCCTGACATATATATATATATCCAAAACAGCCCATGCAAGCCTATAATAGTGGGCAAGTCTAGATTACTGCAGTATCGGGAAGAGAGTCTCTGGGCTCCTTTTTATTATAATATATTTATTTATTTAACAACTTTTTTTTGTAAGATGTGTTCATTTCAGAGACTAGATGTTACTCTACACGGCAGGGGACACCGGAAACTGGGCTTTTCATATTGTACCCATGGAATCAAACCCGGGTCTCCGCGTGTCGAGCCAACGCTTTAACCACTGGGCTACCCCACCGCCCTTGTATCTGTATAGTTTAATGGGTCATTTAATTTCATAACCAAGTATAGAAGAATCCGTAGATCCTTTTGGGTAACATGTATACTTACAAGAGTAAAGGCAAGGGCATCTGAGACTGTTGTTGTTGCCTTTGTCGTTGTTGTTGTTGCTGCTGTTGGTGGTACCCTGTAACAAGGTAAATACGTTTATCATTGAATATAATTATAAACAATTCATTTACAATTTCCTAACACATTCCAACAAGTTACACTAAGTTGTTTAAATGGGCCTTCGAGACAGGTGAGTGAATGTTGTCTATACAATGACGCCGCAGTCTTCACTTCTCTAGCTAAATCACGTAGTGTAAGTTATCAAGTCAGAACGAAGTAAACCAGTGGCAGATAGCATGAACAACAGACCACATCGTTGGGGCACGATGACACACAGTCACACATTAATATTCTGTCTACCTGATCCTAATTTAAGTCACCACAATGGGGATTCCAGAGTCGGATTTATCCCCGTAACCTTTGCTTGTAAATGGATATGTTGTCAAGCTCGGTAACTTGGTTGTTTGCATGTCACTGCATCCCGACGGTGTTGGACGTTTCTAATAAACTTCAGCCAGACGTTTGTCTGGGCTAAGCTAGATTGTTTCCATACCCCAATGAAAAAGCTGACTGCAGCGTTTAACAGTATTCACTCTCGCACAAATATAAAGATAACGCATTATTTCAGGGCATTATCATTTGCAGAAGACGAGCTCTTCCATTAACTGCCCGACGAAGGCAGTTGAAAAGACCGAGGGCAACACGAATGTCACTGACCAACTTTTACAAATATGGAAACGTCATAGAACAAACCAGATGACGTCACTATTCAACGTGACGTCACCTATACCTATCCTATGACGTCACCTAACAACGGGCGTGATAATTGCCCGTCGTCAAGCAATATGAGGGCATTATCAAGTTACAGTGGCCTGCTCATATAAGGGTAACGCTATTTTTCAGGGCATTATCATTTGCAGAAGACCGAGGTCTTCCATTAACTGCCCGACGAAGGAGGGTATTGAAAAGATCGAGGGCTTCTGCAAATCATGATGCCCTGAAAAATAGCGTTACCGTTATTATAGCTAAAATGGATAGAATAACAACACTATCGGTTTTGAAACATTTACTGCAATCAACACGAATTTCATTGACTCAATTTTACAAATATGGAAACGTCATAGAACAAACTAGATGACGTCACTATTGAACGTGACGTCACCTTTCCCTATCCCCATAACGTCACCCACCAACGGGCGTGATAATGGCCCGTCGTCAAGCAATGGAGGTAAATAAATTTTTGATCATGATTTTTCATCAGGTGATAGGAGGATACACTGAGAATCGCACCTGGGTATAGTTAAGTAACTTACCGTTGAATGGATTATACTGGTTCATTTGTCCCATCTGGTTCATTTGTCCCATCTGGTTCATTTGTCCCATCTGACCCATCTGGTTCATTTGTCCCATCTGACCCATCTGGTTCATTTGTCCCATCTGACCCATCTGGTTCATTTGTCCCATCTGACCCATCTGGTTCATTTGTCCCATCTGGTTCATCGAGCCTGAGAACTGGTCCAATGGCCCGCCACTCGTGAATGAATTATACGAAGGTTGTCCCCATGGGCTAAATGGACGCTGGAAAGGGTTGGACCCGAAGGGTGACTGCTGGTATGGACTTCTTTGATATGGATTAGGACTATAAGGATTTGATGAAGGTCTAGATCCAGCCATTGCCATGAAAGGGCTGCTTGTTGCAAAAGGTAGTGGTCCACTTGCGGAAGGTGCTCCACCTGTTGATGATGACGCATTTGGCATTGCACCGGCTGGTGACGATACTGCGCCAAGCAGTGATGATGATGGTGCACTCAGCAGCGGTGCTCCGCCTGTTGGTGGTGGTGACATGTACTGGATTGGTGCTCCACCCGTTGGTGTTGATGACGCGTTCTGCACAGTAGCGCCATCCGTTGGTGATGATGGCGCATTCAGGAGAAGTGCTCCGCCCATTGTTGGTGGTGGCATGTACTGGTATTGAGCTCCTCCCGCTGGTGGTGATGGTTCATTCAACAGAGGTGCTCCCCCCGTTGGTGGTGGTGGCATGTACTGGTATGGAGCTCCTCCCGCTGGTGGTGATGGTTCATTCAACAGAGGTGCTCCCCCCGTTGGTGGTGGTGGCATGTACTGGTATTGAGCTCCTCCCGCTGGTGGTGATGGTTCATTCAACAGAGGTGCTCCCCCCGTTGGTGGTGGTGGCATGTACTGGTATTGAGCTCCTCCCGTTGGTGATGGTGGTTCATTCGGCAGAGGTGCCCCGCCCATGAAAGACGTTGGCCCACCTGCAGCTGTCCCTTGAAGTTCCAAAGGCAGTGTGGCTGTTCCTACAGGTGGGTTTGTGAATGGGATTGGCCCTGCAGTGTCGTTTGTTGGAAGAGGAGGTGGGGCACCTTGACTTAAAGCTGCAAAATGTAAGGTTGTAATTCGAACACCTACATTTTGGCATTTAACATTTTGGTTGAGCATAGCACCTGCTAAACAATATAAAAGAATATTCAATTTCTTTTTAATGGTCATGGAATAGTATTGTATTGTATTGTATTGTATGTTGTTTAACCCTGCAACCAGCAATATGCCAGCTATATGTCGGCGGTCTGTAAATAATTGAGCCGGACAAGACAATCCAGTGATTGACACCATTAACATCGATCCAAGCAATTGGAATACAATGACATGCCATGACAATGACCAAGTCAGTCCCGTTAGTCGCCTCTTACGACAAGCATAGTCGCCTTTTACGACAAGCATGGGCTGCTGAAGACCTACTCTACCCCGGATCTTCACGGGTTTCGTCATGGGAAGTTTCAGGCTGCTCAATAACGTCCTAGAGTTAAACATTATAATAGCACAATTACACTTACCTTGGGTCAGAAGACTGTTGTCTGCGGGTAGTGATGGAGCGGCTGACCCCTGCTGAATGGGATTAGGATCATATGGTGGTAGGATGGATGCGGGTTCTGTCCCGGTACCCACAGGGGCTGTCCCTGAAGGGGGTGGGGGTTCCTGGCCTGCAACTGTAGGGGTGAAAGGTTTAGCCGTACCGTCAACCCCTATCGGCGCTTGTGCGGTAGGGTCAAGATTAGTTACTGCATTTTGGGCGGGATCAACGGGGAGATTTTCATTCGGAGTATAGGTTGTGCCTGGTTTTGTTTGGGGGATAGGATCAGTAATGACGGGATCTATGTACACTGGCTGGGGTACGCTAGGGTCGGTCAGCTGGGTGGGTACTATTGCTGGGGCGGGCTGTGGTGCCGGTCCGTTTGGTACGATGTTGGTGAGGGAAGGATCCGCAGGAACCACGACGGTCTCTGAGCCTGTGAACATATGAATAATGTAAGTAAGGATAAGATTTATGGATGAACAATAAGGAGTAATAAATGTTTCGGTGTAGGTTCCAACACCGTTATCAAGCAAGTGAAGCTACACCGAAACATCGCACCTGATTTTAATAAAGAAGTTGTTCATCCATAAATCCTATCCTTACTTAGTACTGCAACTTCTAAATGTCTCTCAAAGAAATATGAATAATAAAGTTTCACGCCACTTTTAACAACATTCCAGAAATATAGTGACGACGTCAGTAAATTACTTCACATTTTCTGCCCACGTTGGGAACTGAACCATGTATTTGGCATGACGAGCGGACGCATTAACCACTAGCCTAACCATCGTTCATGCCTGTTCAAAATCGTCCAGAAAACAACACGACAATATTTAACAGATCTAGAGAGAAGATAAAGACACAAAGAAACCAACTCGAAATGAGAAGACCTCATTATTTTAATAGACACTAATCAGTTGTACGTGTTGGTTTATCACCAGGAAGACCGGATTTTACTACTTATAGAAGTAGGTTTTGCCCCATGCCATATCGTTCTGCAATACAAATATCAAAGCCAACTTGTCACTCCATATAATGAAATTAACTCAGACAAGCTCTTATCTCCAGTCATACGACTCAGTATACCAATGTTATTGATAATGTCCGTGAATTCGTGAATTGGTTTTACCACATTGAACGACCATGAAAGTATTGTGAAATCAATGTCTTCCATCAATGTGGCGCTATATTAATAGGTAATCATGTTTTAGTAGTAATTAACCTACAGTCAGATGCGATTAAAGTTTCCAATCAAAACAAAAATAATAAAACAGTCATAAACAGAATACAAATATCAACAAGTAATTTATAAGTACATGTTCATTGTTCCTAGAGCTAGTTTCTTTAATGACTACCAACGCTACCAAGTCATCTTCAAAAATCCCGCTCACTGGTTGACTCCGAGAATAATAACTTCGATATGAGTCGAAGCATCGTTGCACATCTGAAGTATGAACATGAACATGAACTAAAAATACCAATGACTATTTGTATTCAACCACAACATAATTACAACAGAGTGGCAACTCTATATTGACTATATTCTGGAGTATTGTGATTCTGAAGAATCTGCAGGATAGTTTGTAGCCGATGGCCACATATTGCCTGTGGTTCTCATTGCTTCTTGATAATATTTCCTGTTGAATTCCAGGAAACGTTGTTGTAGTTAATGTTACCTCCAAGAGCTGCATTGGCGGTGTTTGGGTCCATGACGAACATGTCAACGCTGCCAGAAATCTGCTGTGTGGACTGTGGTCCCGTCGGCATCATAGCTGATGTCATCTGCACACAGAAGCTCACCTGCCAGACAAACACAACAGAAGAAACTTAGACAAATATATATTTAACCAGGCTACTTTCTCCAGTAGCCAATAACCCTGCCTGACTTAAAGTCTACAATGGTCGGATAGAATAGAGTCAAACCATCTTTCAACCCATATTAATATTCATCATATATATCTAACTTGGCTAAGTCATGTTTGAATAAATACATGTAATATGAACAGAATATGTTTTGGTTCTTATAACTTTTCTTTATTATGTCAACCAGTTTCTAATTTCACCTACCATGCCAATATTTTGCAATGAACAAAAGGTGCATTATGACCAGGCTGTACTATATATATATGAAGTACGAAACTGGTAATTTTATTACATGATTATAATTTATACCAGGACATAACTGAAACTGATGATCTGTTTCATTACGTTTCCCTCGCCCTTAAAAAGGTAGAATACAGTGAGGTCTAATTTTATTTCCATACATATGTTACTTTTTCTGTTTTCGATATGCAGTTATTTCAAAGGGAGACTTTGCTCCATGTTCTGGTGTCATTTTCTGCCGAGGTCAAGACATTGAAATTAATACAATATGTGAAACTTATACAGTGTCTCTTGGAAAGTATCGTAAGAAGGTAATTACACATAGCACGTTACTTTCATTATTTCCTTACAACAAACATTTCACAATACCTATATGCTTTTAAGGGATCATTAAATTATAACTAACAGTTTGAAACTAATATTTTTCGACAACCTATCCTTCGGACGTAAACATATTCTGCAAGCCAAGTGATTTTAAACAGGCTTTCCCGATGCAATTTAACTAGGTCATCAGGAAAGTCGTGTCGTATGTGACGAACGAAAGAGACATTTCCCCTTCTCACGTGTTACCTGTCTCAACTGTGAGCAGGTAAGTCCCATATGCCTGTATATGTACACCTGTCAATCACAACTGTCACCCGTCTATTCACGTTGACAGGGGACAAAATGACGTCATGTACTCTCATAAAGGGAAACATACATTGCAAGGATTACTGTAACATGAAATATATTTCTGCACATTTAACGCTTAATATTTTTCTGCAGTAATCTAGTTTTTCTCAAAGAAATAATTATTCATAATAAAATGAAACGCTACTTGCTAAAGAAAAGGAGTTTTAATGCTTTACAAATGTCATTTCGAAGTGACATGCATCCGTTCAGTTGTAATAGTTTCTACTGATATCAAGGTAATCAACAAAAAAGAACCATTTTATCAAACGAACGAACAACAATACAAACCAACAAACACTATTGAAATATTAGTAGATTAGCATCTTTAAATTAAGAAATATTTCCTCATATTTCCTCAGTTCATATTTTAAATTAATCACGAAGATTTTTATAATTCAGACAGCTAATACTGATTCTGACTTGTGTTTGTATTGCATATAATACATGAGTGCTGATTAGAAGAATGTCATACTTATATAATCGATAGTTTACATATGGATATGATGTTATGTTCATTGAATAACGTGTCGAGAACGCCGGAACGTCAACAATGGTAGTCTGTGACGTCATTACATAAAACGTCAAAGGACATGTCTTTGTATTTCGTCAATACTGGTATTTCTGTGTCAATAATACCGTAAAATGTTTGGAATCGTGATTTCTCATGTTCTCCACTGAAAATATGCTCTCGGGAATACACACACACAAATACAAGTACCCGAAAGTCAATGAATGTGCAATATTTGTTTAAAACTACACATGCTCCAACTGAAACATTGAAAGAGCTTACGTGTCAAGAGGAACATTATCAGTGAGCAAGCGGGACATTTGAAAAGAAAGTCATTTCAAAACGATAATCGTGTCTTTTTTCTTTAATGCTCATTGCTCATGATATCAATCTCTGGATTGTCTACAGATAGTCGTCATATAGCTGGAATATTGCAGAGTACGGTGTTAAACAAAAGAAACAAATGTTTTGTTTAACGACTTTCCCTGTTGCCTTGGAGAGAAAATGTTAGTGCATTTATAACATAAATATACTTTTATAGTTTTTTTGCTGGACATCAGCTTGTAAACAAATAATGAGTAGTAGAACCAGTATTTTGGGTTATTTACGATTTGTACCGTAAGATAACATTGTCGTTCATTTGCCAAACCTCATTTGAGGTAAACCTATTCCGGGATTGACCTACATCCGGGACAGTACAAAGTGAACGTACCCTTGAACAGAGGTCGGCATAGTAACAACACACAGTATGAAACATTATAGGATTTTGTATGGAGACACCATGCGAAGCCGCTATCACCGCCCATATAATTTATGGATCACCATTTATGCCACCAACCTATGTCTCTTGATCGATGACCTATCGTGACGCTAGGTGTTACATATATGTCAACATGAGAATATCGTGTTTGAGTATCTACACTAGTGATTTATAAAAACACGAATACTTACAAGACATGTACTTGCTATCTAAAATATATAAATACATTCTAGTTGATAAATATATTTCTAGTGGTTGAAAATGTGAGGATTTTCTCATTAACTATGATTGGTTGGTTGGTTGGTTGTTTAACGCCGCACTCAGCAATATCCCAGCTATATGACGGCGGTCTGTAAATAATCGAGTCTGGACCAGACAATCCAGTGATTAATATCATGAGCATCGATCCACGCAATTGGGATCGATGACATGCATCAACCAAGTCAGCGAGTCTGACAACCCGATCCCGTTCGTCGCCTCTTACGACAAGCATAGTCGCCTTTTATGGCAAGCATGGGTTGCTGAAGACCTATTCTACCCTGGATCTTCACGGGAGTTGCGTGAGTAAAAGTTGTTTTCCAACGCTCTTAAAAGTATTCAAGGTATTTCATGTCGACCTGTTAGTAATCGAGTCTTGACAGGCAAACGAGTGGTTGACAGCATGAGCAACGACCCATGCTGTCTTGGTGGCAGCTAGGCCACATATTGTAATACATAACATATGATAGCCACGCGATAAACCGCAAAAAATAATGAAGAACGAAGAGTGGTTTATATTACGATAAAACATTGTTCTATCATGACGTCTTTTCTTGAGATCGAACATGCGCTTGTAACTTGATGACGTGGTATATTGAACGACGTTATTTTTGAGAGGGAAGCGTCTTGCAATTGTGAGTTGTTCCCCATTGATGTAGCTTGGCAACGCAGATAAACGCGATGGCCGAACGATCGCACCTAAAAGCGGGAGAGAAATGACAATCTGTATTTGGAGGGAGGGTCCGGGTGATCGACGTGAAGATTGTGAGAATATGCGGGAGATACCCACCTGTCTATAAAATGGACATCGGATATCGATTCCAATGAGAGAGTCATCATTATTTAAATACGGGTAGATATTTCTAAAACTTGTAATATTATATTATAATCATCCTTGAGTAGGCTGTACATAATGTTGATATCACAAATAAGAAAAAAACCGACTCGTGATCGTTGTATATCGTACAATAAAACACTGCCGGGAGAATAAACCAGGAGGAGCGAGTTTTATCGTGAAATAAACCACGAGTCGCTTATTTCTTAAATAACCACCTCATCCCCAAGAATCGGCTCATACGCTGATAAAGGGTGCACTTGGAACCATTCTGCCCCAGATACCCTACCGTTTTCGCTGATTTTTTTTACGATTCATGTGCTTAATACGGTCCAGTGAGTGAGTGAGTGAGTTTGAGTTTTACGCCGCTTTCAGCAATATTCCACCAATATCACGGCGGGGGACACCAGAATCGAACTCGGGTTTTCGGCGTGACGAGTGAACGATTTAACCACTAGGCAACTCGACCGCCCCTTTTCGGAAAAGCAATTCTGCCGAACGAAAAGGTACATTCAGGCTAAAGTGGTGATCGATGGTAAAGAGGTCGAGTTAATTTAAGTGGTAAAATATGTTTTGGAACCAGCATATATCAGGATGTAGTCCCTCACGGAACGAAACGTTAATACGTACAAGATTGGTTGGTTTGTTGTTTAACGCCGCACTCAGCAATATTCCAGCTATATGACGGCGGTCTGTAAATAATCGAGTATGGACCAGACAAACCAGTGATTAATATCCTGATCATCGATCCACGCAATTGGGATCGATGACATGTATCAACCAAGTCAGCGAGCCTGACCACCCGATCCCGTTAGTCGCCTTTTACGACAAGCAGTCACCTTTTACGGCAAGCATGGGTTGCTGAAGACCTATTCTATCCCGGACTTATACGTACAAGAAGAATGTCAAGACACAGCAGAAACATGTTAATTTTGTCCGCTTCCCCTAGAATGCATTTTGACACAATGGCCCATTTGTGTGCTTAAACTAAAAGTTTACGAGAACGCCCTTTGGATATACATGTACATATCCCGTGGTTATAAAATGTATCCTGCAGTGACATTAAATAATAGTAGTTGCTCTCATAATAATTCAGGACCATGCACCTGCGTAGAAAAAATGTTTTATAAAACCCCATGTAGCAGTAAAGTTTGCGAAAAAACATCCTTCAGTTAAGTATAAAAGAATTAAAAAAACCCAGAAACTGGACATTTAACTTTCCATTCAAACACTTGTGTTTCACGTTGGAATGCGGCGTAAGGATGTATAACGGATACCCCCCCCCAAAAAAAACAACAACAAAAAACAACAAAAAAACAAACAACAACAAACAAACAAAACAACAAACAAACCAACAACAAAAAGCGAAAAAAAAATCAAATAAAATTAAAATAATAAAAAAATATCAGGTCTTTGAAAGGCATTTAGAAGTGATACACATAAGGAGGAGAATATATGAATGTCAACTTCTTTATTATGATGAACTTGACATCCATATATTCTCCTTCTTTATACTAAAAATAATAAAAATATATGAATAAATATATAAATAAAAATGAAAAAAGGATAAAAAATAATATCAAAATAAACATAATAATATAAAAAAATAAATGGAAAGTATACTGACACTTTTGGATGTAAAAAATGTGTTTATAAATGACGTAGGTATATATCGAACGAAGGTGTAAAGAGAACGAGAATAATAACACCAGAATCACAATGCTTTAATTTTTAAAGAAAATTCCTAAATCTAATCATCGCATTCAAATTTTAAAATACCATAGGCTGTGCATCCTTACGCCCAAGATGTCATGACTTGTGATATCGTGATACCTTCAGTTTACTAGATTCAGCACATACAAACTATGTTTGCATTACAGTATCGTCATAATTATAAGTATTTATAACGTAAATAAATAAAATAAGTAAATCGGTAAGAAAACGCCATGAAATGGAAAAATAAAGTTTAAACATTGACCTAAAAGATTCGGATCCCAGATTAGCTGTCTTGTAATGACGTCATACTTAAAAACGTTGCAGGGCTTCTCTCATTCATGCTTACTTTTACAAACTCAACCTGTTATTCAATGGGTTTCAGTTCACTTTGTATTTGGTATATTACGCCATATCTGTTGCAATGTGTCTCTAAGTCAAATTCCTCTCTCCTTATCGTGTTTCAAAGGACCTGAAATTCCTTCTCACGTACTCATATCAGCGACATAGAATCTTTCTTCAGAAGATTTGTATACACGATAGTTTATTTTTTTTCAAGCTACGATGTAAACTGTCGATGACGACATTCTTTATATTGCCTGTTCAGCTATATCCGTGTTATCAACATCATGTTTGTATTTTTAGAATGTTTAACATAACAAACTTGTTTGAATGATGAACAGAGGATAGGCATCAGCAACTCACATGCTGCGTTCTATTTATGACCTCTCATTTGTTACAAATGACGGAATATTTTGTTTTTTTGTCACGACCCTCCCTAGACTCATGGTTCAGTCTGGGGATTTGAAGGACTGCAACACACGGAGACGTGTACGCTGTCACTAATTCCAAGGATGTGCTTGTCATCTTGTGGACGAGGACTGAAGCTAGGCTGACACTACACGGACCCAGATAAATAGTGTAATGGTTGTAACATTGGAGATAATGGTAGTGGTTTCCTCCTGTTACAGAAATCCAACTCGTAGGCACACGGGGTTAGATTTGTTCCCAAGTAACTAATACTTGTCGTATTAAACATACAAAAGGCAGAATGAACTTGATAAAATGTGTTTTAATGATTTAATATCTCCTTTTGATAGTGATGAAACATGTGAAAACTGTTTTCATTAAAAAACAACAACAAAAGAAAAACATGTTTTAGTCTTTGACAACTTTTCGCCATTTTCTGTAGAATGACCCGATCATGAGATTATGTGTTCTCTGGAGATGCATCATTGAGACATGTACAGACATTGGGTTGACTCTAGGTATTGGTTCCAAAGTGCTAAATGGTGGAACTTGATTTAGTAAAGCCCCTATCTAACACTCACGAATCTGAACACGAATCAACACGATTTTTCAACTTTTCTTAAATCGTGTTCGCAATTTCTTAAATCGTGTATGTGAGATAGGGGCTTACTACATTAAACCTTGTAGAATTATCTATGTGGCTTTTTTTGCCTGTTCGGATGTAACTATATATATGTTAAAAATCATTATTTGATACTCAAGAAATTGCTTCCGGAAACGTGAGCGAGTGAGTGAGTTTGATTTACGCCGCTTTCGGCAATATTCCAGCAATATCAGTCGTCTAAGGCGCCGCAATTCGCTGTGCAGAGTTGCGTCCCTTGGGCACGCCCCGATTATGTGTCTAGGTTTCTCAGCACCATACCTGTGCTCGTGGGTTTCACGGAAGTGGTAAACGTCTGAGACCTGCATCACTTCATCTTTCATCCCACATTACGCTGGCACGCCGTGACATAACAGGAATACTCTTTAAAGCGGCGTTAAACCAAACTCACCCACTCACTCTGAAAATTGGATATGATCGGGACTTTGACCACTTGGGTAACACACATTTTTGAAATTACGGAATGGACCTGCAGGTGACGATAGTGAAGGTCGTTTTCGACTTCCGATCAAGGTCAAGATAGGTCCTTGAAAACGAAAACAATCGCAGGCGACTCTATACCAATAATTTCGTATATTTCGTGAATTTCGTATAACTCCCCTTATATAAGTATGTCACGGCGGGTCTGCTAGATGTGGGAGTAAAACCCAAAGTAATGCTGATCTGAGACTAACAATAGTTAACAATGGAATCTGAGATTAACCGTTTCATTAATATCTGGTGTCATCATTGTATACAAACAAGAAAACGTAAAGGCCACTGGTAATACACACGTTATATATTTTCAAATACCATATGTACTGTTTGAAAATATCCACAAGTGATGATCTCATTTTTATGCTTGTGTAAGGTACCACCAATTCATAATGAAGTGAGTTGGGGTATAGGGCATTTAGACAGGAAGTAAGCATCCCCGTTGTCACCAATTGTGCCCCCCTCATTGTTATTCTGGGTCTGTATGTCTTTCTATCGGATATGCCAAATAAAAATGTGAGAATTTGGCCAAGGAGTTCATTAAGCTTCATGTAACCAATGATCTGATGTCGTTCACTAAGGGTCACATAGCCATTGCCCTTCCACTTATTTACCTCCGTGATCTAGTGGCAGAGCGTACGCCCGGAGAGCGAAAGGTCCGGGGTTCGATTCCCTGCGTCATACCAAAAGACGTTAAAAGATAGTACTTGTTGTTACCCTGCCTGATGCTTGGCATTAAGGTGGTGGGTGAGATTGGTTTTACGCCGCTTTTAGCAATATTCCAGCAACAGCATGGCGGGGGACACCAGAAATAGCCTTTACACATTGTACTCATGTCGGGAATCGAACCCGGGTCTTCGGCGTGACGAGCGAACGCTTTAACCACGAAGCTCCCCGACCGCCCCTCGGCATTAAGGGACTAAAACAAGGACTGGTCTGCTCGGAGTCAGTATACTTTGTCTGAGCGAGGTATTCCTATTAAACTGTGGCATGGTATCTCAGTGGGCTAAAATCGTATAGGTCTGGACAAATTCAAGTAGATAGACACGACGTTAAACACAATTTCACCACCTTTACCCACCTAAACAAGAAAAAGAAATCTTTGAACCGCCTCATCAGTTTCATATTTAGATCTATGCTTAAAGATTCAGAGAGACAGAAAACGCTTCACGGAACTGTATGACAAGAGGAATGACTTCAGCTTGCAATAGTCATCTTTCAATTTATGTCGAGCAATATTCCATACGACTCTTGCTCGAAAGTTGTTTGATACAACATGCAATATTCCAGTAGTTCCAGCATTTAATGTCAACATTTTGCAACATTTTAGGTACCATCAAGCATGCTAAATCTACGAAGATTTCAAAGAGCGTCATACGAGTCTTGCTCAAAAGTTGTTTGATACAACATGCAAGAGTTAAAAAAAGAGTTTAAAAAGTTTATGGTACGCGTGCCTACGTTGGACAGGATACGCTCACCTTTTTCGGAACACCTGGTGTCATATGTGTTTTATACTGATTCATTAACACAGGTTTAGTCGGAAAGCCGGAATCATAGAGAAACGCTTAGTCTCCAAAAATACCATTAGGTGATATTATTTTGATACTTCTTTTTAATTAGAAACAAATAACTCATTTTGGAACCTGAGGAAAATCCAGACTTCATTTAAGTTTTTGCATTACAGAAAGGGCTGGGCGGAAGGGAAGTGATAAAATGTTAAGACATACATGAACACATTTGCCATTCATTTAATATAATTCGAATTAATGATTGTATGATTCCGATAGTATGTCTCAAAGTCCCTGAACCATAATTTATTCAGAATACAAGTTTATACTGAAATGGTCAAACAATGAATGAAAACAGTGATAACAATAAGACGACGTTCCGGAATGGAATACAAGTACAATGAGCGAGTGAACACTGTTGTGAAACATGTTACAGTTATCTGTATGTATGACGGCGATCTGGACATAGCCGGGTCTGGACCTAAGGCACCAGTGGAGTGTAGCATGAACACCATCACACGCGTCTTGGACATCCGGACACACAGTCAGTCAGTTGACATACGTTAACCACCTTCTTCAGAAAGCTCGGGTGCGACTACCTGGTGCCATCATTTGACTTTATAACAGTATTCGAGCTTTCCCTATGAATAGAATTCAATTTGTATGTTTGATTCTATTTTCAAATATATCTCAGTTTTAAAATCGAGTATGGTTAATATGTTTCAAGATGAAATTTGTCATCAGCTGTCTCGCATATCAAACAGTTTTAAACAACTTAAACTACTAATAACGATAAATAAATGTTGACATACATGTTGAAAATGAATAACAAGCTAAATTATGAACTTTGAAACTTTGAACTTTGACGTCACACAGCCCGACGGTTATTCTCAATGACATCAGAATATATCGGCGCTTTCAAAGATAAACTGAAGAAGGACAAGAAATGGTCACGAAAAGTTCCTCTGATTTAAGAGTAGAAGAGGTATTAGAGGTACTACTACTACTACTACTACTACTACTACTACTACTACTACTATTATTACTACTATTACTACTACTACTAATAATAATGTGGTTTTGTATGAAATTTCTTAATGTGAATGCAAGCGCCTTTGTAAAAGTAAGTAACCAACTTTATAATGACCTAATGTTTTAAGCTTTTAACAAATCGAGTGGCTTTCTGTTGTTTAACCTATTTTCATGTTTCGTTCTTATCAACTTAGTTTCAGAATGAATGTCCACTTACCGCTAAAATTCGAAGAAATGCCATTGTGGGTGCAGTACGTCCAGGGCCTGTACAGAGAGCGGCTTGCGAGTGACTCTGGAGTTTTTATATAAAATTTGTTATTTATTTCGTTTCTTCTTGAGACTCCGCCCACACCGTGAACAGGACAAACAGTTGATGGACAGTTGTGTGACAAGTAGCACCATCTGTCTTTGTTCGCCACACGTAATTGACAGAACGTGCTCTTGACCGAAGTCATCTTGGTAACAGATCGTATTTACCACACAACTTGACGTTAGGTTTTGTTCGGAGTGGATGAAGACGACACAATATATGTAATGGTATTTCTTTGGTATTTCGTGTTTGTTGTAATCGGGTGACACTACTTTCAGTTTATATGAAAACCGTTTGTCATCAAGTCTTTGACAGGTTTTAGAAGTTGGAGAACATAAACATGAGAACTGTTGGGAAAGGTGTCATGTATTCATGTCTGTCATTACTTGACTGAATAATGTATGATGTTGTATTTGTTGTAACGGGCTTGTAGAATAGAGAACGGACGCCTACAATGTATTATGGCATCTGGTAGCGGAGTTATGATCATGACTGAGAGAATATACACGGACAGCTCATGGACTGGTCATATGTAATGGAGATTATGGGGCGGCTTAGGCTGTTTCAAGTTATGTAACATTTGTTTCATGACACCCCAAGAACACACTTAACATCTCTCTCTATTACATGACTAGCCCCTAACTAATGTTTAAATTTGGAAAGTTTTTATTTTAAAAAAAATAGAACTGTGCCATTTGTTCATGCCCCTCCTGCCCCCTGCTGATAAATTGCCATTCCTGCTCGTGAAACACAGAATTGAATCTTTGTTAATACGGTTGTGTGTTGTTTAACGCAGAGCTATATTCAGCCTTATCACCCCTAACTAATCGAGTATGGACTAGACAAACCAATGATTGACATTATGATCAACGTAAGGTTATACGCCGTCTGGGTACCATGCCAAGAGGACAACTACGTCCCTGAGCCTGACACCCGATCCATTCAGTCGCCCCCTAGTCAAGCAAAGGTTGATGGGGACCGATACCTACCCGGAATCCCCACGGATTTTTTAAAAATAGCGTCAACGCTTGTGGGTGAGTGATTTGGATGGGTGACATGCCGCTTTGAAAAATATTTCACATCTATCAGGGAGTGTGGTCAGCTTAACGGGGGTAATGCTTAAAAATCAGCTAGTAGTCGCTTAACGCTTTGGTGACCCCCGGGCGTGGGTATAGGGCGGAAAGACCAAGTTTGTGATCGGTGCCAAGTTTCAAATCCAAGAGCCACGAAACGGGCTAATCCCGGATCGACTAATTTGATTTGTCACAGTGACTGAAAATGATTTGACTTTTGTTTATGTACCTTTATTCAAATATTTTGGGGGGCACGGGTGGCCCAGTCGTCTAAGGCGCCGCGATTCGCTGTGCGGAGTTGCGTCCCTTGGCACGCCAGAAACCTATGATTGTGGGTTCGAATCCCGGTTCGCCTCGATTATGTTTCTAGGTTTGTCAGCACCATGCCCGTGCTCGTGGGTTTCACCGAAGTGGTAAACGTCTGAGACCTGCATCACTTCGGGCTTTCCTCCCATATTAAGCTGACACGCCGTGATATAACTGGAATACTGTTAAAAGCGGCGTTAAAATCAACTCACTCACTCACTCAAATATTTTGATTTGTAACGGAGCGATATAGAGACAATTTGATACGATGTTTTTAAATAAAGCGGTAAAGGTTAAGGAAATATCACTCAAGCGTTTATATATACATTTGTGACAGAGGGATGTTTAAATTTGTTATTTTGTAGTCAACCGCTATTTCTTTTTTTCCAGTTTCATTTTCTTATGTCGGTGGATGTTATAAACCAACACCAATCAACCTTCATTTCTTTTTTTTCCAGTTTCAGTTACTTATGTCAGTCGATGTTGAAAACCAACACCAAAATAGAAGGCCTGTGAGTGGAAGAGAGCGGTACAATCAACAATGGTTATCTGTTCGTGAAATAATACAATGGCTCACCCAATTGCCATTTTAGTCACCATATACGAGTAACTCGGGACGTATTTGGCTTTAACCAACGATTGTGCAAAGGAAAGTCTTAACTAGAACTTACAGTTAGCGTGAGGTCCTTGAGATGCAGCTTTACTGGGACGTATGACAAGTACGGGGAACTATTTTTGTTTCTCTTTTTATGGATATTAAAAGAACTTTATTTTGATAGATATCATGTCTATGTGTTCAATTATCAGTATACATATTTTGAAATATGACTGATAGCGGGTGAGAAATGGTGGCCACAGAATTAAAAGAGCACAAGCTTTAATGTGTATTTCCGGTATCAACCCGTTTTGTCTAATTTTAAAAAACACAGGTACAAGTAGCTTTTGGACAACCCAGGTATAGTCAGGGATGAGGGTCTTTGCTTGTTAGACAAAGCAGGCATGTGGATCAATCCAAAAAAGGGTTCGACATTCTATATGAATTCATGTTGGGATGATATTGTATGATCAAATTCCATATAATTCCACAATATGTGGGTTATTAAGATTTCCGAATTATAACTTAATTCTTTTCGGTTTACCTTACCTGTATCTACACAGCGAGTAGACATTGTGCACAATTAATACCTTCCCTCAAATATACGCTGTAGACTAGAGCGTCAGTATCCTTTACACGTTCAACCATTTCAAAGTAGGTGACGATCATTGTGACGATTCATCATCTCTAGAGCCTAGATTTGGAGCTGGAGGTAACATGGTGTGGAACATATTCATGTAGGTGTTAGACGCTTCTCCGTTAATAAAAAACACATTAATGTTTTTGAGGACTAACAACGCGGTCAATCATCGCGTAGATCATGGCTGAATACATGCATGTTAGGTTCTGAAATGTCGGTGCAATCTTGAAGAGATGATCTATAGAGGTTATAACGTTCGCCTGACTTCCTTAAGGACGACACGATGGTCTTGTGTAATGTTTTCAGATGAGTCTAGATTCTCTCTGGACTTTCTGGATAGGCAAGGGCGTGTCTGAAGGTTGCCTAACGAACGCCATGCGAACCTCAACGTAAGGCAATATTACATATTTGAGACAAGTGAAGATCCGGGGTAGAATAGGTCTTCAGCAACCCATGGACTCATGTCGTAAGAAGCGACTAACGGGATCGGGTAGTCAGGCTCGCTGACCTGGATGATCCCAATTGCGTTGAGCGATGCTCATGATATCATTCACTGAGGTGTCTGGACCAGATTCGATTTTTTACAGACCGCCGTCATATAGCTGGAATATTGCTGAGTGCGGCGTTAAACAACAAACCAACCAACAAACAAGATTTTTGGGGGTTGGGTTCCGTAATGATATGGGGCGGTGTCACACCACTGCATAGTGTTCATGGACAGTACTACTGAGACAACATACTGGTAGTGGAAGTATTGTGCGCCATGCTAGTCCACTTTTTGTCCTTTAAGACGATAACGCTCGTGTCCACCGTGCACGCATCGTAACTGAGTACTCCCGCAGCTAAACAGAGGTGTGAAGGCCGACGTCAGAAGCCACCTGCTCCTTTCCCGATCTGGCCAGGCCCTGCAAGAGGTGTGGACAAGAGTCCCTAAAACTGTGATTCGGAGATTGATTCGGACCATACCATGCCGTAGAACGAATGTTTGGCCAATTATTTCTCCAGTTGGTTTGTTTGTTGTTTTACCCAGCACTCAGCAATATTCCAGCTATATGACGGCGTTTGTAAATAATCGAATCCAGTGATTAATATCATGAGCATCGATCAACGCAATTGGGATGAATGACATGCATCAACCAAGTCGGCGAGCCTGACAACCCGATCCCGTAAGTCTATTTCTCAAGTCATCTCAAGCGTTAATTACACTACACACTGCACACTGTTTTCGTCTTTCGTGGTTGTTTGCACCCTTACAATACACCAATACACTGTTGATTGTCATGCTACACCAACCAACGGCTTCCTTTTTCTTATCCAGCTATTACCATCACTTAATACCTCTTTCAATACTTTAAAAAAAGAATAACTTAGAATTTTTAAAATTGTAAGAGATTTCAGTTTCTAGTGACAGTTGTCTGATAATACTGAACTAATTCGGAACACATTGCAACAGGTAGCGAAGTATGACAGCAGTAGTTATGTTCGCCAACGATCTTGAAGGTCGATAGGGGTGAGATCGAAATTTCAAAGTTGAAGTTTTGGGATCAGCAGTGCGTGATGGCGCCACGACTTGTCAAACATTCATTCACTCGACGAGGCATATTGCTTGTTACCCCCACCCCCCAAATGCCGATGTAAGGGAGTCTGTCCCGCTCCTCTTGTATATTGCCTGGACAACCTGAGCCAACGTGGCCGGCGGCCTATGACGTTGATGTACACCGTGTCATGTCCCAGACGTGTTCAATGGTAAAAGGTTTGGGCACATTGCTGGCCATGGCGTTCTCTGGATATTGTGCTGCGTTGTCGTCCTGAAAGGCCCACACGCCCTTCCAACGAGACAGGACAACAAAAGGTGTCAGTATGTTGTCCCGATAGTACTGTCCATGGTCGATTCCTTGCGTAAAATGGAGTGGAGTGATAGTGATGGGATTGGACGGCTTTCAAATGAAATTGGAACCATCTCGAACCAAAGTTGCGAATACATGTAAGAATGCATGTAAGTTTCAGGGACAAAAATGAGCCTGAAATGTGTAGCGCTTTTGTATAATATTCGACAGTAACATTGCTGTAACTTATCTCCACCAATGTATCTCCACTGTATTACCTAATATATGTCTATGTGTTGAGACGACCTGTCGTCTGCTATTGTCTGAGGATTAAGCATGCCTGTCTGTACAACTAGTCCACAACAATAGGTGTCAGAATAGGAGGAGACCCAATCACCCCATATTTACAATCACGCCGCTATCAGCAGCATCAGAGGTACAAAATTATTTCAACAACATAATACATATATATAGAAATATACACTAGACACAAAAACATCTTTGCAGAGGCTGCATGCATAATTGTACAGATTCACTAGGGTAGCAA